CAGGCTGAGTTCAACAGCATCGTCTGAGTGTCTGCAGCTAGGTATGTGCTGAAGTATTTTGTTGAGTCGGGGCCTCTATATCTTTCTATATTTTTAGGTCAAGCATCTCCTTTTAGGTACATGTCTTACCATTACCTTCCACTTTTACCTTTGCATATATGCACGATATAGGTTTGTCTCAGTAAAATGGATACCACCTATAGTCAAATTTAATTGCAGTGAAATCATGGCACTGCTCAGACGTAATAGCAAAATAAACTTTTCTGGTTCTTGAGGGCTGCTGAGAACCCTTCACAACAGGGTGGGATAAGACCCTGTGTGCAGCCTCTTACCCCAAGTGGTGGGTGAGGATGAATCCACCCATTTTACATCAAATCCAACTGGAAGGACGTGTAAGATCTAGAGAGGCTTTCCTGCTGGAGGACAGCTTTCATGGTGGAGGCAGATACCAAAGCCTGATCTAGAGTCTGTATCAGCTATTACTGCTTTGATTTGAAAATTTTCTTCTCCTCAAGGGCAGATTCTTTAAATTTCTGCTCTGTACAGAGGTCCCTGCAGTCAGTGCTGTCCTGTGCAGGTGTTAATGCTGACATCAGGCTTGGAGATTTCCTTTGTTGCTCAGCAATGCATGTTCTGCCATATCTTTCTGACGCAATCATTAAATTAACAGCTTCCTTTAAGTGCTCTGGAGGTTAACAGGATGTCAATATATAAAACAAATTTTCTTAATGTCAGCATAGAGCCTTTGTTATCCCTGTTAGTCACAGTGCCAAAACCAGAAAGGTGTTTCTGCTCACAGGGGATCCCATCCCCAAACTGGTGTAATTGGTCAACACCCTTCCACTGATTCCTGTGGCTTTGGGGTCAGCCCTTGAGCATGGAACAGTTTGACCCTCCTGAGTAATCTAGAAATCATATTTGGAAAAGCTCTATGTAGAGCTAATTCAATGTTTTGTTTTGGTTTTTATTTTTCCTGGTATTTATAGTTATTGAGCAGATTAATACCGGTAAGTATTAAATAGGGTCATCTGGAAAGGGATAAGTACTCTAGCTTTTGCCAACAAACCACTTAAGCACATGCTTAGAGATAAGCACAGATATTAAGGTAAATGGAGTTGCTCATAAGCTTGGTGTTGAGCACATGCTTAGGGTTTCTGGATTTAGAGAAACTTATTGCTTGAAATCATCATCTTTTATCCTTAATGAACGGAAATTAGATTCTAGTATGAGAATTAATTTTCATTAAACAAAAAATTAAAGACTACTAAAAGGTAAAAAAAGTCAGGATGAAGAAGGAAATCATCTGATTGAATGCCATAAAATGGAAAGAACATAATTTCAAGAAACATTCCAAAATTTCTTTCCCGTCTCCCAACCTGCTTTGAAACTTATTCAGGCCCCCAGATTGCCTGGCAGGGTTGGCTCGGCGTCCTGGGGAGCGGGTCACTGCGTGTGATGTCTCTGGTACCGCTGGTGAATGCCATGCCTAGGTCTGGCCAGCCCAGGGGAGGACCACACTGGAGGAGGAGGTAGGAAGGGTTCTCCCCTCACTGAACTGGCTGGAATAAGGTAAAAATAAGATTAAAACTTTTTTCCATGCAAATCCTTAGAGCAGTGCCATTCATTAGGAAGCAACAACCTGCGTGTAGTGAGCAGTTATTTTATGTGCACTTCAGTATCTTGGTTGGAGCTTAAAATAGCCAAATTTAGAATTGCAGACCTGCTTTGGATGTCACAAAAAAATGTTTAGAGAGAAAACGACTCACATTAAAGTATATCTGACCTTCTCCTGCCAGGAATACTGCAGGAGTGTGCAAAAGCTGATAGGAAGAGAGCTTCTGGTTTAGCGCATATGCCTTTGTCCCCAAGCGGAGGATAAGTAAAATGGTAAGAAACACTCTGAATCCTGCTTTTCCATTGAAGCACCATTGAAAATTTGCTGCTGTGCTGAAGTGCATCAGCATCAAAAGGGAGGGAAGATTTTTCCAGAGAAATCCAGCACAAACTGAGAATTCCCACTATGCTCAGTGGGAAACTATATAATCCTGGCCCTTCGTTTGGCAAGTGTTTGACTTTTTCATAGGGTGGAGTGTCCCCAGCTGGGGGGGACGGGCGGTGCACGCTGGCATTTCCCCGTCGAGCAAAATTGGCGTAAAGAGAGGGAAAATAAATTATCATCAGGCCTTGGATGCGAATTCTTTTTAACATTAAAAATGGATAAGCTGCGCTCTTGAGAGGAAGGCAGAGGAGGGAAGGGAAGCTGGGGAAGGGCTGACCCTGCAGTGGGTCGAGAAGCACTCCCGTTAATAGCGATCTGCAGCATCAGGCTTTTAACCAACTCATTAAAAGCTGGACTTGCGCCGTGCCTGGTGAAGGGGTTCCTCCTGTTTACCTACCCCGGTGATGGAGGAAAGGGCCTGCCCTGCTCCTGCATGTAAATGAGGAGTTATATGGCTAGAGCCGAAACATTTGGCAAGTGAGTGCATGAAATTTAAGGTTACCTGTAGGCAGCTGTTGCTCACCCTGTGGGTGTTTTATATGGCTATTTAATTGCATGTTGCTCAGTACTAAATGAGTACGACTTACGTGAATAACTACAGCAACGCAAATGCTGCTGCCTCTGAGATAAAGGACCTTATTTGAGAAACAAATGCTTAACTAATAATACCGCAGGCCTCATGCACTTTTTAGAAGTGTACTTCATCTCTGATAGAAAGGAAAGAAATGGTCTAGTTCTTAAAAATAAACCCAAAAGCATTTTAAGGACTTTTTTTTTCCACTTTTCTATTCTTTTCCCAGGTTGCAAAAATAACATCCAATAATGAAATGAAAACAAGCTGAATAGTTACATCCAGTGGAGGAGGGAAGAGGTAGTCGCAGACAGCTGGAGCATGTCTGGGCCAGCGTCTCAGTTCTTTTCTTTCTGCTAGTTCAGTGCCACTCCAAGAATGCAGACAATGCTGGCTACGACTGTTTCATATTTGATTTCCACACTTAAATCTGCGCTTGTTAAACGAAACCCCATTGTCAGGTTGGCACGCATCCACGCTGCCTCCTTGGGTCCTGCTTCAGAGCTTGCTGTCTGTGTTTGGGTGTCCTGCTTGTAACCCTTCAGTGAGGATCAGGTATGCAAAGAGCATTTTGCCGGTTTAGTGCCGCTTGTGGCATTGCAACAAAAGCTTTTTGGCTTTTCTTGCAACCGCATCCATGGATAGCCCTCGTAAATCTTGGTCTGAGGGCAGACAGAAGTGCTGCAGGGAAGGGATGGGGTTTTGGAATGGCTTCAAGAGCGACGGATCAGTTGGGCACTGGGTTGGAGCTGGTCTCTGGGCAAGGTACTGGCTGTGCCACCTGTAGGAGAAAATGCTTGGGCAAGTGGGACCCGATTCTGCAAAGGGCTGCTACCCTGCCCTGCTCGAGGAGAGGATGTCTCTGGAGATGCTTCTGGTCTCAGTGGGGCCCTCGCATGCTTTGCTGGGTCAGGACCAGAGGGTTCAGCTGCTGCAGGGCTTTGCTGAAGGGGGCAGGAGAAATGCTGTGTATTGGAAGCAAAGCAGTGACTGTGACTAACAAAGGATCACTTCATATCTTCTGTTAAATACCAGGGAGGGCATGAAAATTATGAATCTGGTTAATATAGCTTAGGGATTACAAAATGCAACAGCTGTCCAGTCCTTTAGACTGCAGACCCTCTTGCTCTTTCTGCCCCCCATAAGCTGGTATCATGGTCTGGTACCTGCTCGTACATCACTTGCGTGGTCTGACTGTTCAGTAAGTGCCAATAGTACCAAAGCAGACGGAGCTCTGCCCGTAGTTTGCTGTCTGCTTCAGCACAAGAGGAGGGAGAGGTGATGGGATGGGGCTGTGGCACCACGGGGTGTGATGCTGGAGCAGGAGGAAGCACTGGCCGTGTTTTGATTCTTCAGATGCCCCGGAGGAGTCCACTGCTGGGCTGTTGTCATGGAAACACCATTATTTTTGTGGATTCAAGACTGGCTACAAACAAAGGTTAAAAGGAAGAAAAAAATCCAAGGGATTGGATACACAGAAGGTGAGATCTTCCTCAGCACAGCAAAGCTTGTGAATGTGTGAACCAGCAGTGAGCCCCCCAAGGTGTGTGGGCTGGAGGTATGTCAGGGCTGGAAATCGATGCTGTGCCTCATGCGGAAGCCGGTTGGGAGCGTGGTGCTTGGGGTCTGGCTGTGTTCCGGGTTGCCCAAAGGCCTGTTCTTCCTCCTCATACTGGTCCTGCCCTCACCTCTCATCCTGCCACGCCATCGAGGTGCTGCTGCCTAAGGCTCTACCTGGAGCCGAGATGATACGTGCTGGGTGCTGGTGACTTTTGACACCTCTTCTGCTGGTCAGGTAACAGATCTGTGTCACGCAGGCTTTAACGGCTCTGTGCATTAATGGCAGTGCAGTGTTCACGGTTGTAAGGAAGAGCAGAAAGACAAATCTTCAGGTTCTTCTTTCTGTAATGTCAAAAGCAAATTGTATAATTTCCAGAAAACTTTGCCCAGCCTTTAAATTCAGAGGCCCAGGCTATGTATGCTAAAGATGTGTCCCTCTGTACCCCGTACACCCCAGTACCATTTCGGCTAAAGGGCCAAATGACTATTTAGTGAAGTGATTTAAACCTGGAATGATGCACGTTCCTTCAGGGGCACTACTGAAGCACAAATGCAGTGCGAGTGCATTCGGTATCTGTCTGTCCTTGCACAGCCGTGCCGCCCTCCTGGCCGCCGTTACGGCGGAACAGGCAGCAATCTGCCTTCCCTGCCATGGCCATTGCTCATGCTTAAAGGTCCAAACTGGAGCAGTCTCACAAAAGTCATCACAAAAAACAAAGATGCACAGAAAATGGCCAAACTGAAGCGCAGGTCTGGTATTTGCAGGGTGAGCTGGTACTGCTTATAACGCGATGGGTCTTTGCAGAGCTTTGGGAAGTCAACGTAGGGAA